GCAAGATTCCAAACTTCTTTGTACCATTCTTCCATTTGAAATTAAAGTTTAGATTTCCATTTCCTAGCTATAATTAATTTTGCAGCAAATTAGTAAAATCTTCCAGTTGTAACCCCATATATCATAAAAAGTATCTTTTTTACCTCCCCTTTCTTAGCTTTTAGAACACAAGTCAATTCATTTACACCAAGATTCCAAACTTCATTGTACCATTCTTCCAGTTGAAATTCAAGTTTAGATTTCCAATTCCTAGCTATAATTAATTTCACAGCAAATTAGTAAGCAATTCTCTAGCTGTAAAATCTTAAGTGACAAATATTGATAAGAAAGCCATTTCTGGATTCAGTTTTATATCTCTATCAAAAATATATCTTAATTCCTTAGTAATTAGTTTCCAAATTAGTGTACCCTCTCACACTACCACCACAGGTGAAAATATATATCAATTTTGTTACATTTCCAGCAAACATTTGAATATTTAGTATTTACTTTACTCAATTTAACTGGTGTTAAGTACCATCTTAAAATTATTTTATAGAAATTTTCTTTTATTCTGACTGACATACATCGTAATATCCTCATATTCCATATTATTTCCCAATCTTCTTGTTTCACTTATTTTTTTAAAGTCTTGCTTCCATACTTGTTTCAATCCTTCACCCTCTGCCTCATCTTCCTCTAAGTCCAGAATTATGTTATATGTTTTACTTACTACACCTTTCACTGAATCATCCTTTTGTATATCTTCATTGGTTAAAAGGAATTGTTCATATTTTGTATATTCTCTACATTTATTATTTTTCTTTATCCAATCTTTAGTACATTTCTCCAATTGTTCAAAGTTTAACCAAGTTAGATCCTTAGTTTGAAGAATTTGTTTCATTTGTTTCTTCGATCTCACCTTTTTCCATCCAGTCTTTTAGTCTACTCACCCATTTCATCCAAAATAATTTTTTGAGAACTTTCAAATTAACAGGAACATTTTCTTTTTCAGTTACTAACCTTAATGGTGAATTAGGGGGCGAGTATATGGTTTCAGTCTAAATCACCCTGCCTCCTGGTCTGCTTACAGAGTGTTTATGTGTCAGATGCTTTGAGACACATTTATAAATTGATTAATTGCTCCCAGATATGAAAAACAACTCACTTCTAAGAATCATCAACAGCTCATATGGATCCTATCAGGAAACAATTCTTTTCTTTTGGTTGCTGCAAACCTTAGCTTGGCAAAAGAAAAAAAGCTACTCACACTCCTTCTGAATGTGCATATGATTTTGTCCCTGATGAAAACATCCAGAAACTCTAGTTTCATTTAAATAGCTAAGCCACAAAAGTCAAAACAGAAGTATATGCATCCTTTGGAATTTCTTCAAAATTTTAACGAGACCTGAAGAGACCTTTGAAAACAAAATATAGCAGGGAAAATAAGATTATTATCCCATATTTTGGTTAAGTAGTACATTAGGAAATGCTATTTGTTCTTTCTGCCTTGTAACAGCATTGAAGCTTTCAATTTGGCTAGACAACAGAAGGCTTGAGAAAGCGCTCCGTGATATACTCAGACATGAGTAAGAACACTATACAGTGCAGTTCAGGACTGAGAGAGGTTGGTGAAGCTTTGAGAGGGAGAAGTCAGCAACAGACAGCACCCTTATCTATCACACTGAAGTCCATTATAGGTCCTTTCTGAAACATGACATTTCCTGCTGTATCCTCCTCTCACTTTTGGCTTCTAGACTGATTGGCGCTCTTTCCCTTGAACCAGGAAGGTTAAGTGGAAATCCACTTGCAGTAGAAAAAAGGAGCATGCCCTTTATTGCCCTGATTGGACACACACTCATTGCTACCCCATTACATTGTGAGAGAGATTTTTAAAAGGCTGAGAAACAACATGCATCCCTCTTCAGCTCTGGATCTTCCTTGGTTTGGAAGCCATGAAGAATCCTCACATCCTCATGGAATTTCATGTATTAGATAAGGTATGTATCATTTTGAAGATGGACATAGCTAGCAGTGTGTGCTGTCTCTATATGCCATTTGAGAGAATCATAAAATCCCTGTTGGATTTCCCCAAGGGAGAACTGGTGTGTTTGCACAATAATCTTGGGAGAAACTGCCATGCCTGTGAAACCAAGGACTCCAGCTGTGCTGTTATGTGGCTGTGATGAACTATGGAAATAGATAATACAAAGAGAGAGTGGGTTTCTCTGCTTAACTTGCTGCTCATCCTGGGCAGTGTTCTATAAGCAACACACAGAAGACTCAGAGACCTTGTAGGGGGCTTTACTGTGCACGAGATCATCTATTATACACTATGAATAAGAAATTATCACTTTGCAATATCTGTGACTCAAATGCATGAATTTGTGCAGAACAAGATTCCAGTAAGGAGAAAACTTTGGCAGAAATTGCCCCCACTTCACTACTATACACACTTAAAGGGTGTAATTCCTGCTATTCCTGCTAATTCCTTTCCATCTACTGCCACAATAGTGCTAGGAATATTTTCCAGCCACAGAGATTTTCATAGAATCATATATTAGTGAAGTTGAAAGCACTTATAGGACCACTGAGTCCAACTACCTGCTCAATACAGGAATCTAAATCAAACTATATCTGACAGATAGTTGTCGCTAGGTAATTGGTTCCATTGTCATACCGCTCTAACAGTTATGAATGTTTCCCTGATATTCAACCAAAATCTGGCTTCCTTTAACTTGCACCTATTATTGTGTATCTTGCCCTCTGGGATGATTGAGAACAGATCTGCCCACTCTCTGTATGACAATCTTTTCAAATATTTGAAGAGGGGTATTTGGCCATCTCATGAGAAGAGAAGACTCCTTGGAAAAGACCCTGATGTTGGGAAAGTGTGAAGGCAAGAGAAGAAGGGGATGACAGAGGATGAGATGGTTGGACAGTGTCATCGAAACTACCAACATGAATTTGACCCAACTCCGGGAGGCAGTGGAAGAGAGGAGGGCCTGGTGTGCTCTGGTCCATGGGGTCATGAAGAGTCAGACATGACTAAACAACTAAACAACAACATCAGCCTGTGTAGCCTTGAACAAGGTGTACAGTCCCAGGATGCCCACAGAGGAAAGGACTGGTAAACCACTTCTGAATATTCTCTACTGGAAAATCCTGGAAAGGGTAGCCATAAGTTAGAATTGATTTGACTGTTCATGATTATATCTTCCCTCAGTCTTCTCTTCTCAAGACTAAACATGGCCAGCTTTTTCAGTCTTTCCTCATAGACCTTGGTTTCCATTCCCCTTGTTGCCCTCCTCTGAACGTGTTCCAGTTTGTCTGCCTCCTCCTTAAAGTGTGGTGTCCAGAACTGAACACAATACTCAACCTGAGTCCTAACCAGTGCTGAGCAGAATACTTCATTTGGGAGCTGGACACTACATTTCTGTTAACACAGTCTAAAATAGCATTGGCCTTCCCCCCCCCCGCAGTCACATTGCACTGTTGTCCCATATTCAGCTTGTGATCTACAACAATTCCAAGATCCTTCTTGCACATACCGAGCTAAATATCCCTCCTCTTGTAATTGTGTATTTGTTTGTTTTCCTTAGGTATAGAACTTTGCATTTATCCCTGTTAAATGTCATTCTGTTGTTTTCAGCCCAGTGCTTAAAACTTTCAAGACCTTTTTGGATTTTGTTTCTTTCATCTGCCTGCTTGCATAGCTGCTCTCAATGGCCAGTTGCACAACCAGCCATGTGAGCAAGGAGGAGACCAGCCCATTCTACTCTGCATTGCTACAGCTGCTTCCATATTTGCAGCTACACATGTAGTAAATTGAACAAGATACTGTGCATTGTCTTTATTTTCTTTCATTCTTTTCTCTTTCCTTCTAGATATCAATCCCTCTTTAGTTAACTTTTCTTAAACTGATGTTTTTGCATGCTTCTGGCATCAAAGTCATTGTTTAAGAAATGTTCTACTGTTGGGCAGGAAATCCCTTTCACCAACAGACATTCTCAATGCCTACTTTGCCCAAGGAAAAGGTGATCTTGACAATTCATGTCAATGTCCCCAGGACTTCACAGACCAAGTTTACATATCCCAACCAGTTTCTTGTATTTTTATGATCTACTGTGGGAGTAAAACCTACAAATTCTTACAGCTAAGAATTGGGCCTTTCACACTATGTTCCTGCTGCTCTACTCTACTCAGCTCCACCCATGCCTTTGTTAGCACAGGGTAAGTAAGCCAGAGCTATTTCCTGTAAAAGGGGTCATGCTCTTGCATTCCCACTGTCAGGAATTTAGGATTCCTATTGGGGTTGCCAGGCTGGTACAGAACAAGTCTGACTCTGATTATGAATGCAAGACTCCAGACCAGTCTTTGTGTTTAGCTAAACCAAAGGTGGTGCCATCTAAATTGGCTTTGACAGTTCCAACTGATGAAACAAATTAAGTTGGGGATGGAATAAGTTTCATGGACTGACACTTGTTTCTTCAGGATCAAGACCAGTCCAGAGATTACCCGACCCCCTCATTTTATGTTAAATGATTTCTGATATAGAGCCACTGCACTTGATGTGGAGGGGGAGATCTGAGTCACCTGAGAAAACAGTCTAATAAGTAAAACTGATGGTACCTATGATCACCACTTGAAGTAATGAAAAACAAGGAACAAGTGGATGGATTATTGGGAAGAACTAGAATAAAGGAATAAAACAGGCAAGCTTGAGTGAAATACGGTATACAGACACCAGTTTGCAGATCATCACTGTACAGGAAGTACTTCTCTATTGACCAAGTACTCAGTATTATTTGTCTAATTCATATGTATTTTGTCACCCTGGGTGATCTTATTTCCAAACACTTCCAGAAGTTTTCTTCTCTGGTATACTGTACCCCGCCTCCCTACCACTGAATTACCAATAAGACTCAAGTTTGTGAGGTGCTGATAAACTAGAAAAGGGAAGGTGTATGTGAGTGTGATGCATTAGATGAAAGAAATGACATTTCTCTGGATGTGGTCAAAATGCCTTTTAATGTCCATTTGTTCTAAACTCAGTTAAATGCAGTATTTTCCCCATCCCATTACCTTGCTGTCTCCTTTATCAAGCAAACGAGTGGATTAAAAGAATAAATACATTTATCTCTCCCCTTCCAAAATGAATTTATATCAAAACTAATCATAGATCTTCAGCTCACTTCTTTAAATACATCACAAATGTTTAGTACTGGTTTCCTTAGAAGTCTAGGAATACAGTTGGTGAGCATACACATGATCAAGTGGGAAAGGATGCAAATGTTTCAGCATTCTGACAGCTCCCCACCCTCATAGATGCTATCAGTAATAATCATAAGACTCATCACTTTCCATACCATCCTCCAATCCTAGGTTGGGTAAGGGTAAGGCTAACTTCGTCATGTTCAGCTGATCTGGAAAAAAAAACAAGGCACAAAAGAAGTTCACCTCTTGTCCTTCATTGTGGAAAAAATTTAAAACACCTTTGCTAGATCAAATGCATGACCTCCCCAGTCCACTATTCTGTTTGTATAGTGGTCCACTAGATTCTGATAGAAAGAGAGTAGAATTGTCATCTAGAAGGTTTAGAAGAGGTCTACTGAACTCTATGCTGGATTATGGCCTTAGAAAAAGACTAAACATTATGGAACTAACTATTACAAAGAAATGCATTCTTTGCAGTGAAAATGACAGATTCATGTTGGGTTCCTTCCTCCTCCTATCTAATATGCTGTTCAACTTAACTTGATATTCCAGCATCAGCATACCAAAATAATGTTCCATTTATTTGCAAAAGATGATTTACAAATTCACATTTACAGAACACATGGAGTAAATTATTTCAATAGTATGACTAGTGAAGGATAAAATATTGGAATTTATTGTCATTTGATCAGAAAGCATTTCCCTTCATATCATGCTCCAAAAACTATGCAACAACTGAGTAGGCAGCCAGTGTAATAGCAAAGTATAAAAGAGGAAAAGGTGAATGAGACCCCCCCCCAAAAAAATTATGGGAATCTGCTGGCACTGGAAAGCAGAGGAAAGAACATGGTGTACTGGTCACACAGATTATCAGCACAAAGGATTTATTTGAAGAAAACTTACCAGGAGTGAGAACTATGAGGCTAGCAGGAGCTGCCACATGTCCAATGTTATTTCTTGCAAAGCACTGGTAAGTTCCCTCATCGGTCATCCGCACAGCTTGGATCTGGAGCCAGCTGGTCACTTCATACTTCTGCGGGCCTCCTCTAAACTAAAGGGAATTATAGATGAATGATGTAGCTGCTAGAAGACTATATATAGATAGTTTTAGAAGAGGTGGCCACATTAATCTGTGCAAGCATATCAGGCAAAATCCAAAGGAAAAAAAAGTTAAAAATTAAAAGGACAAAAAAATTGTGGCACTTTTAAGACTGCTGAATTTTAATGTAAGCTTTCATGGACAAGTGTACACACACTTTCTGCTACTTGGCTGCTTCTTGGAAACTGCTTATTGTGTAGCCCTAAATATATACCTTGATTATACATGCATTTGTCCTGCTGTTTGGTCTGCTCTGGGGATGGACTGCTTTGTTCCTTTTGCCAGTAACCAGACCATATATGTGCAGAAACAGACCAGCCCACTGTCAAAGAGTTCCTACCTGCTTCTTCCTGGCTCCCTGTCAGGGACTATTGTTTTTTAGGTGCAGGTAGGATTGCTCTGTTTGTTTCAATTCTAGTGTGTGTGATCACTGGGATCAAACCAAAGTGGCAGTCTATCTGTCCCTTTGGAGAATTGTCTTAATAATCTTAACCCTCTTCCCTCTTAATGATCTTGAGAAATGGAAAACTTCCACTTAGCTCTCCTTTGGAGGGCAGGGGAGAAGTGTTGCGTTTATTTTTAATTGTTGCTAATGTATCAAATGATACTTTGAAAGGATCTATTCAAGTCCCATCAAGACATTGCTGATGTGTGTGTCAGTTAGCAATAGCAACCGTTAAAAAGAAATGGAAAGCTTTGTCTCTTTTCCCCACAAAGGAGAGGTGAGTAGTTTTTCATTTCTCAAGATTGTTAAGAGGCAAGATCATAAAGATTGTTAAAAGGCATCTCCAAAGGGACAGTCAGACAACCACTTAATGAGCTAGAGAAATATTTCACTTTAAAGGTAAGGAATTTTTCCTTTTAAAGGCAAAGAGGATCTTGATCAAGTCACTTGAAGTCTGGTGTGGTTTCTTGACTTGAAACCACCCTAACCTTACATGTGTGAACATAAGGATTGCACCACACACCTCTATGTGACCTCATCCAACCTTAAGCAACCCTATTTAGCCTGCTCCAGCATGCTCCAATTTGACCATCTAGACAAGCCGTATGTCAAATGCCACTTAAGTCCTATTGAGTTCAGCAGGGTTATACTCATATACTTTGAACTAGGACTCCAGGTTGCATGGGAGTCATTGGGATAATCTCTTCCCAGTACAGATCAATTGCTGAAGTCTAAGAGATTACAAAACCAGAATCAGCTTTCAATTTAAGCATTCTCTTCTAACCCTATCTATTTAAATGAACTATTAATGTGGTATTTGAATATTGATTGCACCATAGTATCCTCTCACTCAGTGCAGAAACATGCCTTTCATAAATATGATCTCTAAAATAGCTTTCCCCAGAGCATGACTACATCTGATGCAAACAACATTATTTCCAATCATGTCATTTTAAAAGTCACATAAATACCGGACAAGGGGAGAAGAAGATATATGATAGTCAGTAGCACCAGGAAAAATACTGCCACGGCTCCCAACAAAAGGGTTTTATTTAAAGTTACTTCTTGGAGTACAACACTATGATCTGGCAACACTAGAATTTTGTAGTCCAAAACAGTACGTTTTCCAAGATCTGTTTAATTTTCTTGCCACATATGAGTGGCTGGATGATTGAGATTGTGGTTAGGAACAACAGATTTAAACTTCCACTCTCTGCACCATGGTGATGATGTCAAACCTCACACTTAAAAAAAAAAGGTAATTGCTAATTCTGTTGTTTGCATTATATGAAGTTTGGTCCTCACCTTTTCAAAAGATATTTTTAGACAATTTGTACATTTATATCAGTTTTTCGTAAACTGACTGGCAGCAGCTGTCCAGGGTTTTAGACAGAAGTCCTTCCCAATTTTATCAAGATATGGTGGAGAGTTAGCACTTCTACTGGGATCTTTAGCATGTGAAATATGTCCTCTGCTACTGAAGTATACCCCTTTCCTGATTGTAGACATCATATTGAACCACAAAACTATACAAATGTCATTGTCTAAAAGTTCAGAAACCAAAGGGGGATATGGGTGGGACTTTGAGCAACCAAGAGGGATTTTATATATCTTCTTGTCTCTCATCTGCCAACTCCCCACATCCTTTTTCTGTACTGTCATCTAGTCCACAGCCTGCCAAGACATTACAAATTCTGGAATCCTTTTCAGTTTTGCATTGCTGTTAAATAAGCCAATAATTACTTCAAAACAGTTCTTTTCAAAGTTGTGCTTCATAAGTTCCTGCCCATTGATTAAGTAACAGCATATTTGAATATGGTTCAGTACTCTGAGCTGATACAGAAAGGAGAAAACAGAGGCTATTCAATTTCCTTTTAGGAAGCAGAGAGAGAAGGCAATTTATGGTCTATTTCAAGTCCTCCCTGATTTATGCTTCAAAAGAGCTGACAGAGTGTACCACAGCTTGTTACATCTGCTAGGAATTTGGATAGTTTTCCAGCGTGGAAAATCAACAAGACAGAATGGTATTTCACAACAGACTGAGATATATAGAGCACACCCAGATACAACATGAACTCTGTGTCAAGTGCATCTGCAAATAGAATTAGGTGTGTGTCTCTTTTAAAAACCCAAAGTAGGCCACAAGTCTTACAGATGTCTGCGTATGGAAACACATAAAAGAGAATAGTTAAAATCTCAGCCTAAACTAAGAACAAACAATAGGGTGGAACCCAACTAACAGTTTCCAAATATGAGAGAAGGCTGCTAGCTACTTGGTGTGATCACAGGGATTAACAAAAGAGGGAAGGGATGGAAACTCTTAGGAGGACAGTGTTACGGAAAAAAAATATATAGTCTTGAGATGCATAGTTTAAAATCCTGCCTAAGAAAGCTACTGAGATCAGATTGCCTATTTAGCATAATTCACCCAGCTTAAAAGCAGGTAGAACAGGTACTAACTTTTACATTATAGGCGTGCCATTTTCTAAATAAACAACTGGTATCCCTTAAAATAGTTACCCCAACTTGGATCTAGATGCCTTGGATTCATGCAGTGGCATTCCACGTAATAGGGAAGTCACCAATAGGCAGTTTTTCAGAATCAGTGGTGAAGCCAAACTTGAAATAGAGAAACCAGTAGTGAAAGTGACTGATTTGCGACCAATCCTGTGAATGTTTTGAGAAAGGAGACCAAACTCTATTCTGTAAGTAAGCATGCACGGGATCATGAAAATCCTTTTTTTAAAAAAACTGAATCCCTATATTTTCCAGATGCCTTGAGATTTAACAGTGCATTAGAATCTTAATAGCCTCATCTCCTTGCTTTTCTATCTCCCCAAAGAAGATTCTTCTATGCAATATGTTCTCTAGTGTTCCATGCAAACTATTTTTAATTAACTTCCAGCAATTGAGTTTCCCTCTAGAGATTATTCCATTGTTTTAGTAGTAAGAAAGCTATTCTTGGTGCCTGCTTTAATTTGTTCAATTTCATCATCTGCTTTTATGAACCAGCTTCAGCCAGCTTGTAGAATCTGTTGTCAAAGGGATAATTGCTATATGCTTGGAGGGTGGAAGGAAGCAGGCAAATAAAGTTATTGGCATTCAATTCCAATATAGGACACTGTCTCAGGCATTTCACTGCATTTTTACCTTGCTAGTAACATGGTTCTTAAGCTAGTAGTGACACATATATTTTGATCTACCCAAACACTCCCTTTAATACTACAGATTTATAATTTCTATAAAAGTGTTGCAGGACTTCCTTACACACCCTCTAAATAAAAGGGTATAAGCGTGGCTGCCCTACAGCCTTTCAAGTTCTATTTTAGGCTGGATCTGCCAGTCTGTTAACCCTTCTGAAGATAATCTGGAGTGGTTTATGTCTTACATTTTATCCACAATGCACACAACAGTCACTAATACTATTGTGAATATACTGTATGTGATTACACTTTGCAAAGTCGAATGATGAAGCATAGAAAGTTAGAAAATAATTAAATCTCTCAGTAACAGTGGAAATAATTTGTGGGAAACAGAATATATCATAAGGATGAACTGAAAATCCAGCAGCAGTAAAAGATCATCTAAACAAAGCAGAAGCTCATCTGGAGAAATTGGCTAATTGCATCTAAAGTAGATACTCTGATAGGAAACACAACAACACCTCTATAGCTAGAGAGACAAAAACCATAACACAGACCATCCTAATGAGGATCCACATAATGAGAAATATTGCTATTGCTAAAGCAAGTTTACAGTATCCGAGGCTGATGAAGAAAAATCCATCTTCTGAGCTTCATATGCACAAACCACCACCATTTTGATTGCTCACTAGAGTTTCAGCTTACCTGAACTGAAATGTGGGGGTCATCTCCAGGAAGCAGCATATCCAGTCCCTCCTTCCTCCATTCAATAGATGCCATAGGGTAGGCAAAGACCTCACAGCCAAAGATCACATCTTGCCCAGTAACGTTCCAGATGTCATAAGGAGGAGATACAATGTGGGGCTCTGAGAAAGACCAAAGAGAATTGAGACCTCTGCCTTGCTTGTGTGTGAACACTGGTCTTCATTTTTCATGCTAGATTTTTTTTTTTTTTTACAGATGAGCCCTCCTGGTTTGGTATAGGTGAGTTCTCATGTTCTGCCTCTCCCAAGTAATAATTTAATCATGCAAAATAATACTTATATTGTAAGCCTAAAGCAAAGCCTCTGCTATATTTAACTTTTTTGTAGCATTTATCAATTTGGAGTCTAGAACGAATATCAACAATTATTTTAAAAAGGAATGGTTTGTTCAGCACTTCTTCTGCATTCTTCATTTCAGCATATTGACCTGAGTGGTCCTCCTTTGCCATACGTACCAATAGCTGATAGTTAGCAATGTGTCTGCATCATCATGGCCCATCCGTAAGCCAAGGCCCAGTGGCCCAAAGTAGTGGTCTGGTGCTTTGCCGCAGTCATTTTTGTAAAATGCTTTCCAGGGGAGTTGCTGCTACTTTAAGTTTTGGGGAAAACATTTTATCTTTGCGGCAACTGCTAATCAGTCAAATGGTTCAGTTTGATTTTAAGGTTATTAGTTCCCCCTTTTCCCTCTTGTTTCTGGGCTGATATTTAAGGGAGGGATCATGGGTCAGTGATAAAGCACAGGTTTGATCTTTGGCATCTTTAGTAAAAAAAAAAAAAAGGCATCAAGAAGCAGATGGTGGAATTGGCTTTTTGCCTGAAACCTTGTGGAAGAGCTGCCAATCAGAACAGATAAGACTTGGCTCAATAGATAAATAGTCTCTGATTTAATATGAGACAAGCTCTTATCTTACAGTGTGGTTTTCTAACTCTTGCCAAAGATTGTGAGGCCAAACATTATGGATTTATTTAACGCAGGGAAGGGACCTCTGGATGTTGTTGGATCACAGTTCCAATCATCCCTCACCATTGGTTGTGCTGGCTGGGTTGAAAAGAGCCACAGACTAACAACATCTAGAGAGCAGGCCACTGTCCACAAGGTCTCCTGCCACCCAGAGAAGGACATGAAGTATCATTGTTGAAATCGGGGGTGGGGGGGAAATCGCAGCCATTTGAGGCAACCACATTACTGGGTTTAATGCCAGAACCAGCCCTATTAGTCAGCCACATATTCAGGATGCCTACTTCAATGTCTTCCCCTGCCTCAATCATGCTCCCCAACATCCCTTCTACTCCTCCAAGGATCTATCAGTATCCGTCCATGTATCCAAACTGATCTTTACTATGAACAGCAGTTGCTTACCTGGTTCTCTCTTTGCCACCTGCCATGTCTACTAAAATGTGTACTAGTGGTGTCATCTGTTGTGTATCTCCCTAATCTCACCTCCCTCCATATCATTGGCAAATGCCATTGGAATCAGGTACATGGCAGGGCATGCCACAAAGTGTGTTCCAGCAGACATTATGTAGAGGAGATTCAGTGATTGCATATTAAGTTGTGTGACTCAGCTGCTGCCACTGTTGTGTATCTCCCTGATCTCACTCCACCAGTGGTGAAGATCCCCCATCATCCTTAGCCATTATAGGCAGTAGTGAGGAATCAGGGGAGTTGAATGGGGACTAACAACATCCTGAGGGCCACACAGTCTCCAGCTGTGATTTAGAGTCCCATCTGCTTCCCTTAGCTGTGTCTAACTCGGTCATGCTGACAACAGCTTGAACTAGGTGAGCACAATGTACCTGCCCAGCAGTTGAATAATAGCAAGCAGCCACTTCCTGACATCTGAATGTATCCCTAGCATAACCAGGAAGAGCTTTTGTGCAAGATTGAAACCAGCATGCATATTGGTAGTAAGTAATAAACTAAGAGATTTAGCACATTTGCTTTCTTGCACTCTTGGGCAAACACAACTTTTGTCTCATTTTATTTAGTTATTTATTGACAAAAGAGGACAGTGAGAAAACTTCAGGAACAAAAGGTGAGACACAGTGGGAAATTATTAAAAGCCATTGTTGAAATGAGCCACTAATGCGTTTTGCTGACATCTCTTCCATGAAGCAATTGTTCAAAAGGGTCCCAAATGGTGGTGGTGGTCCAGGAGGAGCACAGACAACTACAGCAATCCATCACAGGAAATTCACCAAAAAACAAGTGCTGCGGCTTCCCTCTTTTCTTGCTTCTTTCCTATTGATCTCATAGTACAGTACTACTCCTTAAGTTGTGCCATTTTGGCTTGCTTCCTATCTTCCACCAAACTGGTTTAATGAGTTGTAGAATGAATGAAGGTAATGCCACCTAGACTCACAGTGCCCATATTCTTACTACCAGTGCCTCTCATTGCCTCTTAATGCTTCCTAGTGTATTCCAGTGTGCCTAGATAGCACTGGTTCCTACGTATAAATAAGAGTATCTTTCCACCTTTGTCTCTCTCCTATGGCTATACTCTGCAAGTGTGCTATCAGATAGAACAGGGCAGGGCAAAGTGGGACCCGCATGCCACCCTCCAAAGCCATTTTTGCAAGTCCTGGTTGTTCTCACCCATCCCTCCAAAATCAAATTAAATTTTACTCCTGATCAGGGGTGGTGTTGCTCTCATTGGTCTTGCGGGCAGACAACTGACTCTCAAACATTGGCTGAAATCCTGTTGTGCAGTTACACAAATGGTGTAACTTTTGGAATTGCATTGACACAGACATTATCTGTTGCATACTAAGCAGTGCAAGTTCAGCATGCAATGGATAATACAAGCCGAGAACTTAATTTACTGCAATTTACATCTAAAGTTACGCTATTTGCACAACTGTGCAACAGGATTTTAACCATACTGATATTGCCCACCTCTGATCTAGAAAGTTCCTGGGGATGTATATATCACAGCCACTGGCTTCTAAAAATACAGAATCAAAAGTACTGTATCACTATCCAGTTCTTCAAACAAAAGTGTCCACATCTTCCTGCATTTGAAGAAACATGTTATATTCCATGAAAGCACACATACTGAAATAAAGTTATTAATTTTAACACTGCCACAATACTTTTCTTTTGGTTTTTGATAAAGCAGATTAACACTTCTGCCTCTCTGAAAATTGGCTTGTAAAAAAAGTAAACTGTTGTCTTTGAAAAATCCTAGATATGTAGGGTCTCTCCAAGCCCTGGTGGACAACATGCAGCTTATGCAAGCAGCCCCTAATGCTAAGCAGCAAGAACAACCAGGTGGTTTTTAAAAACAGAATTGTATTTCAGAAAGCTCTAGAAATCATGACTCATCTTCAAAACGAGGTGTACAGCCCTGTGTGCTTTATTTTCATTTTTTGAAAGCTTATTTTCATTCAAAAGGAGTGGTGTGGCCCATGGCAGGTCCAGAGAGACTGCTTCAGAACCAGCCCAGGTTGCCAATCTCTGCTGTAAACACAGAAGATTGCACCACATAGATATTGCTCCACTAATTGCCATGCAGCTACCTGGATACCTCAATGGTTTAGGTATCTGGCTGACAAGCCAGAGGTTGGGAGTTTGATTCCCCACTGTGGCTCCAGGGAGAGGAGCCAGTTTGTGTGGCCTTGGGCAAGCTGCGCAGTCCCAGGGTGCCCCCAGAAGAAGGTGTATTATCTACCTACAAACCCCTGGAAATGATTGTCATAACTCAGAATGGACTTGATGGCATGGAATTATTATTATTAATTGCCACAGACACCTACAATGATGTATTTTTGGGGGAAAAAATCCTGACAATCTTTGTCTTCACCTCACTCCAGAGGAGATCAAACAAGCCAGCTGTGCACTGCAAAGAAATATATACTTCTTTTGCAGGGAGGAATCATAACTCAGTGCCAGAGAATGTTTTTGGCATACGGAGACTCTCAGTTGATGCCTCTTGTTCTTGGGATATGAAAATGGAGAAAGAACTGTATTATATTTTCAAAACAGTAGCTGTTCTTCGCTTGCATGTTCATGTAGCCATCTAGAGACAACCTCCATTGGACCTTACCTGATTCACAGGGGCCTTCATGGGCCACGGTGAGATTAGTCTCTGGGTGGGAGTTACGCATCTCTTGGAATTTGCAGATTTGGGCATAGGTTTTGCCGTCAGACCCGCAGACAGCCTGGCTGGAAATGCAAGTACACTGAGGCTCGGGCACCTCACCATGTTGCAGCTCCCCGGATTCAAGGCGGCATTCTAAGTGATCCCCACACTTGCCATAGAAGTGGTTGGTATTGTCCAAATCACAAATCTGTCCTTCCAGGTTGGCACACTCCCAACAGCAGTCACAAGCATCCAGCACCACCCCAGCAAGGCAGCCACGTGGCGTGGGACAGTCCTCCAATCTGCATTCCATGCAGCTCTCTCCTTCCTCCAGAAGCCTCTGCCAGCCACGCTGCAAATAATCAGGAGCGATGGGTAGGGCCCGACTAAGGACATCCCAGCACAAAAACACACATAAAAAGGTAACTTGAAAGGAGACAAAGTTAGCTAATCGAGACATTCTCACAAGCTCCATGGCTCTTGGCATCCATTCATCACCCTTGCTTGGAACCATCCCTTGGACAACTTGCGCCTTCAGCAACAAATATCATAGGCTTTTCTTCAAAGCTATGGAGCCATCACTGCCTGCAAGGAAGAAAGGAGGGAGGGAAGAAAATGATTAATCACAAAGATAAATGAAACAAATTAATACACAGATCACTGTCTGAGGAAATGAAATTTCATCACTGCTCCTGTCAATTAATCCAAAATCATGACGTTAACCTTTCTGTATCAAGATGAAGGGCTTGCATGCCAGCTAGCTTACACTTGCTGTAGTTTTGTTCATTCCAAAAAAGATCCAGAGTGCATTATGGGAACGATTGTTCATTCTTCTTGTTCATCCTGTTCTCTGAAGACTTATATGACCTAGTATGAACTCTGTCTGCAGAGTTTTGAATTTCAGGTAAAATTCCTATTTGCTTTGCAGTAGAAGTAGATATAGATCCACAGAGGGGAAAAACTACAGGTTCCCCAGAGTCTTCTCCTTTCTCATTAACTGTGCTTACATTCTCAATAATTCATTCTGAAATATATGTAGATGAAAGAATAAAAATATTGTATTTGTGAAGGCTTTCACAGCCGAGATCTAAAGAGCCCAAAAAACCCACAACAACCAATAAAAATATTTCTTATTTGCAGTTACAGACTTGTGCATGCTGCTTTATTTACTGTACATATAATTAGAAACCAACCAAACAGATCAACAGCAAACAAACAACACTGCCAACAACAGACTAAAGAGAGGGGGGAAACACTCAGCAGAGAGGCAGGGCTTTCTTTAAATTCGAAAGATGGCAGGAACAATTGTTTCGTGCTGGATAGACAATCACTCTAGCCCAGAAAAGTCCCTCCCAGTCACACAAACTACAGACAGCATGAGAGACTGCAAATAACACTCCAACACTCTGCAGTACCTTGCCTTGGAATATTTCTCCCCATCAGCCTTTATTTTTCCTTAGTCAGACCGAACGAAACAGAATTTTTAACACTGGAGTTTAGTTCCCATAAAATGTCAATTATGATGTTCATTGAGATTCAGATGGATATATCAGAATTACCATACACTAAAGGTAATCTTTGAAATTTGTGTTCATCACTTGAGAAAGGAGAATTTTCTTATTCACTTGAATTCTGTTCCTCAGCTGATTTAATATGTACGTGCAGGTGGTGGTGGATAGAGCATCAGACTAGGATTCAGGAGACCTGTATTTAAATCTTCCTTCAGCCATGGAAACAGGGGTGGAGGGGGTGAAACGGGCAAAACCACTTCTTAAATATCTCACATATCTCGGATACCCTTCTACATTCACCACAAGTCATAATTAACTTGATGGCTCATGTATGGCGGCATATTCTGGGATTTGTAGACAAAATATATAATTTCCACTCATCTATTCTAGGGCTATAGGGAACTCCCCAGGCAGTTCACGCTATTTTTTTAGAAGTCACCATGATACAAATTAAAAATAAGAATATTCAAGCTGAAAGCAAAAAAATGTGTGATTTTGTTTTAAAAAACACCAGTTAAGATAGCAGTAGATCAGAATTACCACTTAAAAGCATCTGCCAACCTTCAAGTAATCAATTGAAAACAGCTTTAAACAACAAGGGCTAAAATTCTGTTGAGGAAAAATGTTTGCAACACTAATTATGCAAATATGTTGTGCCCTTGTGTAGGCTACTTGCCACATGATGAGTTGCACAACCACTTTTGCAAACAGGATGTAACCAGTTGTGTGAGACCACAAATGAACTTATAAACTGTTTATGGGGTCACCTTTGCATACTTGGCTTTTGTCAACAGGATTCTGGCCTTGATCTTTAGAGTCTATTTAAAACCAGCCAATGAGGGAGTCAGGCATATTCCTGCAGGAGAGAGTTCCATGATGATAGTTCTACCACAGAAAGTATGCTGGCCATTGTGACCACCAACCTAGATAAGCAGATATTTCAGATACAATATGCATACACATAAACTGACCTTTCTTTGTTTGTTTGTTTGCTGCTACTTTTGTCTTTTCCTGTTTGGAGTGTTTAATGGTCTTAATGAGACAGCCAGATGGATACTAGTCAGAGTGTAGACTCAGACCTGGGAGACCCAAATGTTAGTCCCCATTCAACTGTGAAACCCCGTGAGTGACCTACCTCAAAAGATTGCTGTTGTAAAGGTAAAGTGTGCAGGAAGGAAGCCATATGGGCCACCTGGATCTCACTGGAGGAAAGGTGAGATGAACATGTAATTGAGAATAAATATTCATTTGTTTTCTTAAAAATATTTGGACACCACCTTGGTATCCATAGAGATTAAAGCAGTTTAAAAAATTATAGTAAATAACCAAATAACCAAATTTATTCATTAGTTTATTTGTTTGTTTTTAATGCAACCAAACAAAGCTCCCAGGATGCAATTCAAAATAAGCTATACTGTATTTTTAAGTATGATATGCTTCATTCAGCAAATAGAAAGCCAACTAAATTTAGGTTTTATGCCAAGGACACAGCAATAGTACATGAAAGCTTCCATCACTTCAGATACTGACCTTTCAGCGTGATTAGCATAGAAAAATATAATAACCAGCAGGTGGCTATGGACTGTTGTTGTAACAAGCTAGGAATTCAAGATCTCCATCTATTTAAGCCATCTGCCTTAAGTTTATGAATGTTAATTCCCAGGCTTGTCTTTCAAGTATTTTATGGAGGCTTCTTTTTAGAACAAAGACTGAAAAGTCAGCGAGAGAGCAGTCATGCTGGGGGAAATATTCACTCAGTGCTAAATTATTCTTGTCCCCAATTATGTTGATCTCACCAGTTGTTTGGCTTCATTCATGCAGCTCCCACTGGCACAGGCACATCTGTTGCATTCTATCCGATATCTAGCAGTTGTCCAAGAAAGTTCTTTGGGAAGGGCAAGGAAGTGTGGCTGCTATTTTTGTGTCTTGCTTGGAACCAATATGTGTCAGGGAAGTTTCTGTTCCTCTCTCTGGTCTATTTCTTTCTCATCCTTAGATGAATCCTCTTTCTGCATCCTTGGTGGAGTTTGGAAATATTCCTTTTTTGGGTGATAGCCACCAGATTCCTGCAGCCAGTGGGGCTCTGATTCTTGTTTCTTACCATTATCACCAACGTGATTTGCCACTACCTCAACTGAGGCCACAGTCACACAAGAGAAATGCCCCCCTCCTTTCTCACACCTTCTGCTTTCTGTGTAGTCGCACATTGTGATCATGTGGCATATATCCTGTGGTCGTGGTTCATACATTGAACCCAAACTATTTTACTGGTGTGACCACAGCCACATTTAGTGAAGTGGTCCTTAGAATTATAGTATGCTACAGTATTATAAAGTGGCATAGAATTATGCTACAGTAACGATTTGGCTTGGACAAAAGAAGGAGGTCATGTTGACCCACGGGAATAAAACAAAATTTCAAATCAACAGCTGGGGCAATACATTTATTAGGATCAACTGTAAATGTAGAAAATACGTTTGCAAAATAAAGGAAAAGAAGAAAAGATTTTTCTAAAAGGTCTGTTAAGTTAACCTGTGTGGCTTTGGGAAAGCTGCACAGTACCAGGGTAGTGGCTTTGGGTAAGCTGCACAGTCCCAGGGTACTACACCCAGGAGAAGGTAATGATAAAACACTTCTGAGTATTCTCTACCTGGAAAACCCTGAAAACAATTGCCATCCATCATAAATATTATTTATTTATTTAAAATATTTTACCTTGCCTTTCTTCTTAAAAGGACCCAAGGTGGCTTACATTATTTAAAAGACAATATTTAAAAGCCAAAAACAATAAGTATACAAATGTACAAAAAGGATTAAACAAGTATTACATTAAAACAATTATCATGTGCACTCAAGTCAATAAAATTAACTTTACTGCATATTGTTGTTGTTGTTGTTGTTGTTGTTGTTGTTGTTGTTAGTACAGTATTAAGTTTATCTACTATCTTTACCCTGTATTATGAAAGGGAGCCTCTTGGCACAGTAGCTAAACTGTAGTACTGCAGTCAAGACTGTGCTCACGATCTGAATGTGACTGCAATGGGCTGAGGTAACCAGCTCAAGGTTGATTCAGTCTTCCATTCTTCCGAGGTTGGTAAATTGTCTACGCAGCTTGCTGGGTGGTGAATGAGTAAATTGTAAACCACCCATAGAGTGCTTTAGTGCTATAGAGTGGTATATAAACAGCATACTTTGTTTTGCTTTATCATCACCTATAAATGAATCTAAGGGACGTGGTGGCACCGCGGGTTAAACCATTGAAGCCTCTGTGCTTACAAGATCAGAAGACCTGCAGTCATAAGATCGAATCCACCTGACTGAGTGAGCCCCCGTTGCTTGTCCCAGCTCCCACCAACCTAGCGGTTCAAAAGCATGCAAAACGCAAAAATGCGAGTAGATAAATAGGTACCACCTTGGTGCAAAAGTAAATGGCGTTCACGCTGGCCACGTGACCACGGAGGATTGTTTGTGGACAAAGCGCTAGCTCTAAGGGTTGGAAACGGAGATGAGCACTGCCCCCTAGAGTCGGACATGACTGGACAAATTGTCAAGGGGAACCTTTACCTTTTTATACATGAATCTAACCACCATGGATTAAATAGAGGGGACATGAATGTATAATCCTTATGTCTGAAAAGTAGATATTGATCCACAAAAGCTTACACTCAAATAAATCTGTTAATCTTTGAGGCACTACTGTAAATTTCCTTTCCCCCCTCCCTTTATTCATCCTCACTGTTCCCAAATATGTTGAGACAGACTAACACTGATACTTTTTTGGAAACTGCACAACATATGCAAGGGTTCAGCTTCCGCTGAACTCTTCATCAGGCTAAATGTCAAAATGTTTGAGGGTGAAAGAGAGGGAAAAGAAGGAAAGGATTTTGCTTGGAAGGTGGAAGAGTGTGGGGTTATTAAGGATGTTTCCATATATGCAATTAGCTACAGTATTCCAGTTAGCCTGATACAATTAGCTAGTGACCCTGGGTCCCTTCTCCATGGTATGAAGGTTGACTTGCCCACTAGGATTAATTGGGGCACTTGCTGTGCATCTTACAGCAGCCCTCTTGTCATCCAGACTGGAAAGGGCTGCTGGGAGGGTGGGATCTGTTATGACAAAGGATGGACTGCACAACTTTCTGGCCCTGAGACCTGCATGTGATTCTGTCTCTGGAGTTGAGGCCACACAAGTATGTGTGTGTATGTACATGCACATATGCACAAGTATGCATGTGCACACAGATACACATCCTTACCATTGATTTCCCTTCTGCGCTAGAATGGAGTGGACCACCCCTCACAGTGAGCCCAATATGGATTGTTCTTTCCTGACTAGCAGCAGCAGGGCAAGAATAATGTACAGTATATAAATTGGCCAAAAATCAGCAGGAGGTGAATGAGAAAGAGGTTTGGGCTGCACTTAAGGAATTGGAGAGGGCACATATAGCAACTGAGCTGCATGTTATGGATCCCAAATTAGACAGACTCTTGAGCTTTTACTGCTCTGTGACTGGAGTGCAGCACTGTCACATAGTGCATTTCCTTTGTGGTCATCTCCAAAAGCACTTCTCTTAGAGTCATGATGAATTTAACAATTCCCTCTAGCCTCCCATTCTGTTGTCCACTTTATGGCTTCTGCATCCAGAAACTGGGGACGGAACTCTCACATCCCAAAGCCATCCCCTTCCTCTGGCTTAACTGACAAATAGAGTTGTTGTCACACATAAATAGGAGAACCCAGCTTCTTGGAGTAAAGAATGTTAGCAAATACCACGGAGTTACAGTCCAGCAATACAGAAAGAATTTCATTGGATTTCAAAGCAAACTAATCCATACCAGCAGGGTTTCTGTTGTTTTATAGAAAACATACACCACACAGCCCTGGGCACTAAAGACTTTTTTGTGACAGAAAAGCCTTCCCACAATTGTTCTCTTCAGTTCCCCCACCCATCTCCAAACCACAGACATGCACACTTCATCCCAAACATCCAGCTGACTAACTATGATAGGAATAGCTGCTAACTGCAAGCTGGCAATGACAGCTCTCCTAGTGTGATAGTGAAGATAATAATATAGGATGCAAAAGAACTCTGTGATTTGGGAGAAAGGGTTTTGTTTTGTTTTGGTCTTAGAGGGTTCATTTGTTGCAAGGTTAAAACGGAGAATGAATCTAAATTTAGATCAGAGTGAATGGGGTGCATTTTCTTTGTTCCAGAAAAAGACCCTTAGGAATCTTCTTGACCAAGCTCATTCTCATTGTGTTACTTGAGAACTTTCCTAGACTAGGAACAGATTCAATTTACTGACAGAGCTCTGCTTCAAATATTCATGCAGAGGAGGAAAGCAGTTAACTAGTGATTCATTTCAGTAGCAGATTTTCAACTTTTGAGGAACTTGCTACTGAGATTCAAGGTGAATAGTGGTAGGCATTTATAATAGCAATTATAAAAACATGGACACAAGGACTTCAGACTACTGTTCTATGGTTCAATTGTCCACAGGATTCCTTGGAACTGCCCCATCCCTGACAAAGGTATATCTAATGGATGTTAAATGCATGTGTCTCCTGCATGTGAAAATAGGGGGGTTGGTGGAGAGTTGTCTAAAAACCTGAGCTTTTTCCAAAAACAACTCTAAGAGTTTCAGACCTGATGTACACTTTGAGGTGCCAGGAATTTTCAAGGAAACACTTCTGGGAGCACCCGCATTTGAAAATATACTGTATTCCCATGCAAGTACATGCCCTCCTTTCTTTTAATTTATAAATCAGTCTTGAGTTGCCTTAAAGTCATACATTCAATATCCCTTCTCTGGTTCCTTAGCATACTGTACACATGAGACATTGCAGTTCTAAAACACCCCACATTTAAAATTTGGCACTTCTTTTGCTCCCAATGCTTTGATGCAGTGGTGGAAGTACCTACCTCATCTCAGGTATGACGGAGTCTGTGGCTGATTCAAAATTCTGCTGACCCGTCGCTTCCAGTGCCGTCAAGGCTGAACAGTGCCTTCAGCCAGGTTGTGTTGGATGATTTTTGCCTTTTCCACTGGCTTAGTTTGTCTGCATCTCTGCTTGGAACAAGGACCAGTGATGTCACAATGAAATGTGATCCCTTCACCCCAGCCCTCTTCACTTTCCTGCCCAACCAACACACACGCAGCCAGCCATATACTGTGCTGCTACCGCAGAAGCCTGCCTGATTAGCCACGAAACTTATTTTCATGCTGAATGGCTATAAGTGAAGCCCAGCTGCAACCACCTTCTCTGCTCTTGACTCTCTGTGCTCCACTGAAACTTTACAGCTGTAACTAGACACCTTTTCCACTGCTTTGCTTAGAAAGAAGCCTCTAAGAAGCAAGGGTGGGAGGTTGACTGAAGGTATTAATATGAACTCAACATGTCCACTAGGCAGCTGGGGTTTCTTGGGGGGCACCTATGCCTGATCTTGCAAACCAAGGTTATTCTGAAGCAAAGATTACCCCCAAAAACTCCCCAGATGCCCCCTTCAGCTTACTGTCAAGAAGAGTGGTGAAAATGAATGTGTAAAGCCAATTCTGGAAAAAAAAACTATAAGAAAGGAAGAAACCAAGAGCCAGAAACAGTGGTTGGATGGCAATACGTCCCTTGTTACAAATGGCCTGAGTTTACCCTCAAAAATTGGCTTTCACAAAAAGTTCAACCCATACCCACAAATAGTCAGGAGTCAGGATAAATTAGAAAATTCTGAAAATGAAATATCAATGAAAGTATTAAATGTTCAAAACCATACATTTTAAGAATATATTGCTAAAATAAGCATAAGATGTATTCATGCCTAGTGATAAGATAAGGAGTTAAAAGAACACAGAATTTTTTAAATCTTGCAAGAACTCCAGGGCATACAAAGTTGGAGAAAAATACAGAATAGTGCCTTTTGGGTCTTTGATTTTCTACTTCTTACATGAATGATAGTATACTCCATGGCTGGGGCATTTTCAATGGATGCATCAGAGATCAAATACTAAAAATTTGCTACCAACACAGAGGTAAAGCTTAATCAAACCACAGCTCAGTTTGAGACAGAATCCAGAACCTAGCAAAGCCAAGTTAGGGGTGTGGGTCCTTTGGGAACAACAATTGAACTGTGTAGCAACAGGTTCAAGGCCACACAAGGGTGGACAGCAAAGCCTAGACTGAACAACAAGAAAGTCAAGTAAGCCAAGTATAACAGGGAGAGGGAGACCAAAGCAGAAGCAGGGCCTGTTAGAGTTTTTGCAGCCCCACATGTTCCCTGTGATTTGAGTGACTGTCCAATCTATGTCCAACTGTAAGTTAAGGAGACGCAAGAAAGGACACCAAGGGCCTTGGCATTGCCCACCAGCAGTTGCCACCTGGATAAAAGAGTGAGCAGGACCTTGCTCACTTTAGATTCTTGTAAGTTGAGATAATAGCTTTTTTGGCCAGTGGTCAGTAAGTAACTGTGATGTATCTAAGATTCTCATAATGCCTTCAGTATTCATCAGCATTGCTACCTTCAAAGATGCCACCTCCTTTTAGTAACAATAGCTTTGATCTCTTATACCACTTGGTTCATCTGCACAGTTGTGGCACTTGCAGTTCTGTCCAGTCTGGCAGCAGCAGCTTCTGTTTGGGGATACAGAAGTTAAGAGAAAAAGGTGCCAAGGAGATAAAATTGGTGAGAGGCAGTGATGGTGATGAAGAGGAGGAGGAGGATGTTGTCGTGCTAACTCCTGGATTCGCGTTACAGGCAAGTCATTGTGAGGAATAGGAAGGAAAGGGTTACTCTAAGGTTCATCCAAGACGGGATCCTCAGTGACAGGCAGGAAAAGTTAATCGTGATATCAGCCAGCGAAAGTTCTGAAGCCAGAAATACAGTTAAAAAGAGGGGAAGGAAATTCTGGCAAAGGGAAAGCGAGTGGCTTTTCAGGTTGCTATGCATAATCCAGGAGCTAGAAGCATGCTGATGGGCCAACAGTGAGGGTGAAGGCAGATCAGGCAAAATCCAAAGAAACAAAACAAAAGACAAAACATGTGCCACCTTAAAGACTGTTATATTTCAATGTGATTTTTTTACACCTTAAAGACTGTTATATTTTAATGTGATTTTTTGTAGACAAGTCCACTCTGAGCCTTGTGAGAAGAAGATAATAGGTGAAACGAAGTATTTTATGCAAATCTTTAGAAGGCAGAGCTCTGCCCTGCAATGAAACCACAATTAAGCAGTAGGGGAGACAGATAACCCTGTTTTGCTGGTGTTTTATGCTTCCTATTGTCCTTTTCAGTCCCTTTTAGAAAGAACCAATCTCTCCTGTGCTGTGCTTCCCTCTTGAAATACTCAAAGCACTTCTTTCTTTGGGAACATATGCACAAAAGTCCTTAAGTTGTTCTCTCTGTGAGCATCTACCCACCCAGCCACCCAGCCACTTTCTCAAAAGCAAGCAAGTACATCTTGCCTGCAGTTTAAGCACAAATGGTCATCATTTGTGCTTAAACTGCAGGCAAGATATACTTGCTTACATTTGAGAAAGTAGCAGCTCAATCAATTTTCAACTAACTTCCTTGGAAATATTGATCTTAGTTACCATTTTAATATAGTACTTGTTTAATATAGTACTTTTTAAAATATTTGTATACTTACTGTTTTAGCTTTTAAATACTGTTTTACTGATATAAGCCACCTTGGGTCCTTTTGGGGAGAAAGGTGGCATAGAAATATTTTAAATAAAGAAATAAATAAGTGAGAGGCCACACAAAACACATAGGGATAGATTTCATATTAGATCCTATTAGAACAGAGTCTTGCAATAAATGAGATTTTTCGACCAATGGTTAAACATGTTCCAATGATTTCAGCGGGCCTGCTCTACAGCCTACTGATGCATATAGGTTTCCACACAGACTAACATGACATGTGTATGTTCTTTGCATGCCAGCTGTCATGGTTGTAATTATTAGGGTTAAAACTTGAACTGTAATTGGGATATGTAGTTGTGGAAAGTTATAGAATGAATCCATAGTGGATCTGTGTTAGCATGATTTTGTACCATGGGAATGTTTTCTCCAAGAGGGGATGGGAAAGTTCCATGTAAACAGCCATATTATGAGACGATAAGGAGTCAAGGCACAACGCCATTGTCTGGATCTAGACCCGAGATGAGAAGCTGGAAAACAACACCTGTACTGTACTTTTCATGGGAAAAGGAGGTGTGATGGGAATGGACTGTCCTTTACGCCCATTGGTCAACATCTCGAAGAGATGAAGAAGAAGGGTGGTGCCAAGAAGACAAAAAATGGAGGATGGTGCCACATAGACAGAGCTGGAAGAGATTGGAGGGCTTAGAGAGCTTCCAGACTCAGATGCCAGATTCTAGTTTCTAAAGAGCCAATTTTTTATGCTTTATGCTAAGCTTTTTAGAACTTTATTTTTGCTAGTTGAATTTTGTTAAGATTCTAACTGCAATATCTTATGAAAATGTAACTTATGCTTTGCTTATTCAACAAACTGAATATCTCTAAATACTTTATTTTTTCAATAAAAAATTAATCTTAAAATCCTTTAGATTGGTCTCTGGAACAGCAAGTCTGCTGAGCCTGCTTCCAGAAGAATAGTTAGGCCACAGAATGCTACAGAGTCCTTTTTGCCTGAGCTTTGTTCGTCCTGGCAGACTCCAAAGCTCATGATTTTTCTGTTTTATTTTTCTTGCTTAACTTACTTATGTACAAGCAAGGATTTTCTTTAGAACAGACTTGTGGTAAGGGGTTTGTGTTAAGTCCTGGCTAAAGCCCCCGGACTCCGCTCAGCTAATTAGGAGTACACTTACACCTGGACACTCTCTGTTCGGGAAGCAAGCAATCCTTCAGGGGATCTCGGTTCTGACACCACAACTTTGACTTAAAAGGCAGCTACTGTTGCATATGAACACTCCACAAATGATTAAAAATATGAAGTAGAGATAGAGGTATGTGAAAAGTTTTCAAACCCTATTCCCAAATTCCCCCAAATTCCTTCTGTCTGGACAACCAGATTTTTGCCCAGCTAAAATTTTCCCCTTATTTAGAAACTCGTATGCATCTAGCTGTAATTATCAGTTATTAAAATTCTGCCATCATGTGTCAAAAGTGACTTGATAGCATTTAACAACAAAATTCTGTCCTGCTATGTTAATACAGCTATGTTAATATGGCTTTTAGTGGGCTAAAAGTCTATTCCAGGCCTCCTGCCTTCATTTAGGTTTATGAAGTTGTAGGTGGGGGTACATTATGTGTTGAATGGTTGTTAAACCTTTGAAACTAGCTCTTTTGAGGATTTATGGATGACGAATGGACCTCAACAGATGGGAAACCTTGACATCTGAGCATACAGCCTGGAGGCAGGTGGTGCAGCATGGCCTCTCCCAATTTGAAGAGATACTTGTTCAGCAGGCCAAGGCAAAGAGGCAGTCCCGAAACCAGCAAAATCAGGGAGCTGGGCAGGGGACAGCTTGTATTTGTTGTCAGTGTGGAAAGGATTGTCCCTCTCGAATTGGCCTTCTCAGCCACACCAGACACTGTTCCAAGACCTCTCTGTTCAGGGCACGTTACCACAGTCTCTCAAGACTGAAGGATGCCTACAGGATGACAAAACTCTTCAGAAGGACTATCAACGACCATTTATTGAACAACAATTAGTAGAGCAATAAAACTGTGGTAGCTAGGTGTCATTATCCTTTCAAAGATTCTTCCCTGTTGAAAGAACTACTGTACTGCAGTACATTAAAACAATTATGCCCCTTTGTCCTGCCAGATATAGTTGTACTACAGCTCCCATCATTCTGCAGAATTAAACTTTCAACATTTTCATTTTATTTACATTCATCCTATTTAGTTCATGTTGAAATATGTGTATTATAGGAATCACTAAACATTTTTTTCATATATATAGTATATACTTGATCTTATCAGGCATGTCAATGTTAGAACTGGTTGGAATGGAAGGAAAAATTAAACTTTTCCCTGGACTATTATGAATAAACAAATATCTTGCAAGTGTAATGCATAT